TAGTAGGGTTTCGCCCATAAGTAGATATACCTTTTATGCCGTTGATTTGTAATACGTCTTCGACCGCTCCTAGGTCTACACCCAGTGTATTAGTCTGGAAATTCCATATTCGAGAAACATCACTTTGCCAAACAACAACTCTATCAGCGACAAGTCTTTGAGAATGGTCTTCTTCAAGCAATCAATCATAATTGTTTATAGTTACTCATTTAATAACGTGATACCTAGTAGAGGTGGGCAAAGATTGAACTAGTCGTTCATTTGAACAAGTATTAAAAATGAATCGTGTGATTCGATTCACTGCTTAGAATATGGTTCGTTCAATTGAATCGTGGCCAGCACGGTAGCATGGATCCATAAGATTTGAACGATGAGCCGTAAAAAAGAATCCTGAGAATTGAATCGGATCAAAATGCGATCGTTCGTTCAAAAGTCGTGAGAATTGATTCATTGCTTACAATACGGTTCGTTCAATTGAATCGTAGCCAGCACGGCAGCACGGACCCATAAGATTTGAACGATGGGCCGTAAAAAAGAATCGTGAGTATTGAATCGGATTACAATGCGATCGTTCGTTCAAAAGTCGTGAGAATTGATTCATTGCTTACAATACGGTTCGTTCAATTGAATCGTGGCCAGCACGGCAGCACGGATCCATAATATTTGAACGATGAGCCGTAAAAAGAATCGTGAGTATTGAATCGGATCACAATGCGATCGTTCGTTCAAAAGTCGTGAGAATTGATTCATTGCTTACAATACGGTTCGTTCAATTGAATCGTGGCCAGCACGGCAGCACGTATCCATAAGATTTGAACGATGAGCCGTAAAAAAGAATCGTGAGTATTGAATCGGATCACAATGTGATCATTCGTTCAAAAGTCGCGAGAATTTATTCATTGCTTACAATACGGTTCGTTCAATTGAATCGTGGCCAGCACGGCGGCACGGATTCATAAGATTTGAACGATGGGCCGTAAAAAAGAATCGTGAGAATTGAATCGGATGACAATGCGATCGTTCGGTTCTACGGCGCGGCGGTGATATAGGCATAGAGTCAGGCACCAATATTTAGACTTGAACGAAAGCCCTAAACAAACATCATGGGCATAAAATGCAAACGATAAGAATGTTATTTACAAGAAAAAAAAATATTTAAACTGCGCTTAGTACGGGAGTATCTGTAAGATATTTAATTTTGACGTTAATATATTTGTTAAAATAATATTACCGACTATAAACCACTAAATGTCGGTCTAAAAGACGAAATCGTGTTTTTATGCAACTCCAAATAAATATTGTTGGCCTCTGCTTAATGTGATAAAAAAACGGCGTCAGCGATTGTTATAAAATGAAAATTGCTGTCATTTTATATGCAAAATTATATTGCAATATAATTTTGCAATATAAATTATATTGCAATATAAACAATGTCATCGATGTTCATTTCCAAGCCAACTGGATACCATTTTTTTCGATCATGCGGTATTATATACTATTTATTATATGATTATTAAATCGGAATTAAAATATGGCTCTAAAAATATTAAATTGGTATTAAGAAGCCTTTAATAAATAATATATATGAATTGGATTGATAATTTAATATTATTTTTAAAATAATCAATCCAATTACGCTAGTGTCATAAAGTATTGAAAAACAATTGAAAGAAAAGTATATTTCTTTTTCTGGTCCCTTATTTCGATAATTCCGGCCAAATTATCGCCGGTAGTGCCAGTTACGATTTTTGTTTTTATGAAACGTAAATCATTGTGCATGTGTTTCGTTCAAATGAACGAATCGTAGGAGTCGATTCAATATGAGAAATTGAATCGTGTGATTCGACTCACTAAAAAGAATCGTAATGCCCATCACTAATACCTAGTACTCGACCTTAAATCCCAAGGCCATAATTTTGAAATTTTCTCTTATACTTACTATTATATTTTTTATTTTCATTGAAAAAAAATGTAAGTAGGTAGAATGAAACCCACAACACTAAATATGTTTTAATACACCCTTTCTGAATTAGTTTCTTAAGCACAATTTGTATGCTCCGTGCAAAAATCTGTAGGCGGATTTTATAACACTGTATATTTAGCTGGATAATATCTCAAGTATATAAAATTTAAATCGACCTACGTGGGAAATATATGTGACAAGTCGGAAAATTATTATTTTCAAGGCTGAGTAGGTAGAATAGTGGAGATATTTTGCCGAAGAGAATATCAGAAAAATCAAGCTTCCTTTTCTTGTTCTACTTTTCTTCTTGTTTTATACAAGGTGGTCTAAATCCCACGATTAAGCTGTACAAACAGGTTCCCATTCAAACACAGATTTTTATCCATCAAAATGCAAACTAAAATTGTTTGGTAGATGTATGTAATGCGTATAAAAACTACATAGAAATTGGTGTGCGTAGGTGTCTAGCCTAGTAACCTTTTACTTAGCAAATGTTTTAAATTGCATTGGTTTCTTTACTGGAAAAAATATCCGAAGAGACTAGAGTTGCATATAAAGAAATAGAGTTTATGCGTTAGTTTAAGGATCATGAAGATGATTGTTATTTGAAGGCCAACTTCACCATCTAATGTAAAAAGACATAATCGAAATGAAGAAAAAGAAAATATCGGTTCATCAACAGCAAGCTACAAGAAAAAAAGTAATGATTAGGTGGTATTGATAAAACTTTATTATTGAACGAGCTATATGTAATAATACCCAGAAAATCTGCGAAAATAGATGTTTGAAACACCTTAAATACTGAAAAATGTACATTTTTAATTGTGCATCTAAAGATAATCCCTTAGTTCTTTATTATAGGATTTACATATGTTCGACATATTATTACAGGAATCTGTATATGCCTATAACTTAAAACTGTACAAATATAAATTCAACATTAAAATAAGTTTTTAGACACAAACCATGGTTCTTCAAAAGTTGTTCGCAGTTCTCAGTTAAGTTCATCACGATAATGTTTTAAATTTGACATATATCAGTGACTTTATAAAAGAGAAATAAAAAAAACAAAACTTAATTAACCCATACTAATTACAAACAAAATATATACTTAATTAAATTACTACATAACTATCCTGATAGAAAAATATATCTATGATATTTTTTTATATTGATGAAATATCTAAACCTGAATATTTATGCATATAGTTTAATTTCGTCATATAATAATATTTAGCAAACAGAGCGGGAAGTAAAAGAAATCCCCCAGTATTTTCATCCCGACTTCTTTAGACAGTTACAGTATATGGACTTTCTACAGTTTCTCTGCATTTTTTTCTGTGTCTAACGAAATTTTAATAATGTTTTCTTCATTTGTCCCTAGAGGAAAAAGAAGTGTATCTTTAAGGCACCATATTATTTTTTGTTATATTTTTAGCAACGTTGTGTTTGAGTAAAAACATAAATTATAAATTGAAGACATGAGTGGATAAAGGTGTCATGTCGCTTTTTTAAAGTTTCGAGTAAATCGACAAAACACGTCTAAAAATTATCGATGGTGTATGTGACACCTTTAGGATATTCTTTATGGAATTTATATTTGATATTTAGAGTCTATTGGAGGACAGATTTGTCAAAGGGATATTGAAATACTGAATAAAACTGATTTAAAAAAAATGCGACATGACACCTTTATCAACTCATGTTTTCAATTATTATATATTAATAACTTAAATTAACATAAAGATTACTTAAGAAAGAATGAAAGGACGACTTTAACAAATCTAAGATTTGTCAGCATTCATGGGACACAGGGCACAGAATAGATTTTAACAATGCAAAAATTATAATGAAAGAAGCGATAGCCTCTAAAAGAAAAATAACAGAGGCTTTTTAATAAAATCTAATAAAAATAAATGTATTGCTCATGCATCTGTAGATATTAGTAATTAGTAATGTATGGCAATCGCTTCTTTGATTTTAAAGAACACAGCATAAATAATCATAACATGCGTAAAAATTAAAAACAAATTAAAAATAATCATACGGAATGTTTGAAGCGCTTTGGTTATGCCTTATTAAGTAATTGTTATCAGGTAGTAATTATTGTTAATTACTATATTGTTTATATATTATATATATATTGTACTTATCTGGGCTCTTTAATTCTAATTTGGTACCTTTCTATTTAAATCAGTAATTAATAGAAGTATATTTTTATTAAAAAACGCTATAAAAGAATATTCTATTGGAAATGTTAAGTGTTTGTACCTTTATGTTATACAGGGTCTCCGCACAATATCAAATGCAAAATATAGCGATTTCATAAATCAAAAAACGAAAAACACAAAATTCTTTAAAGTAGATAAATGTTATAAACTTGCTGAACCCTAACAACGTCATGTTTCAAAATCTAAAAAATTCCATTATTTCTGAAGATATTTCGGAAATATTTTTCAATTCGTTCTAATTTTTTATTTCTAATTATTATATCTCAATTTGAAACGATATGATGGTACAAATTGCACATTCATTTCACCAAGTTGATGTTATTAGATTTTAACTTTGACGCTTTGTTTCTCATCACATCAACTTTATTTTGTTTAATACGAACTTGTACATTGTCTCTTATGGGACAATTCTTTATTAGATATTTCTGAACTACATCTGCTACATCACTGTATTTGATAAGTCAAAAGCTTTTAAAAATTGAAATAAGAATTAAGTTAAAATTGGCATCTCGGAAAAAATCGTCACATTAGGCATTTAATAATATCAACGTGTAGGGTAAGAAAAGTAGCAAAGGGAATGTGAAATATGTATTACTATATCCTTTCAAAACCAAACTTAAATCAGGAAAATTCTACTTTCATTCTGGTTTACGAGGTCATTGAATTAATCCCTATTCTTATATGAGACACCGTGTATATTCATATAAAAACTGCATTATATTACATTAAATGTTATTTGTTGTTAAGGTATAATCTATTAAAGCATTAAAACTGTCACATTGTTATTATACGAGGACAAAACTTACGATTGAGCAGATTCTTCCAGCTGCCGCTCAGCACCCTCATGTACCGGCTGATGGACAGCGGCTGTCCCACCTCCTCCACTCCCTTCTGCTCCAGGTGTCCCTCCGAGTGGCTCCTGGTCAGTACCGTTTTGAAGTCGCGCCCGCGGTTCAGCGAGTTCGTGTGCGACACCCTCCGACATTTCTTGCTCTTCAAGTTCTTCATTTCGATCGATTCGACCACCCCGTCGCACGGGTCCACGAAACTCAGATAGGTGGAGGAAAGTAAGGGGTTGTTCTTTTTGGGACACCGCACCGTTCCGTTGCCCAGGACGGACTTCTTATTTGGGGGTAGAGGCGGTGGGCGGAAGCAGATAGTAGCCATCACTTGTGATTATATCAGTAGAAACACGGTTCGAGATATTAGTTCAAACAAACCGAAAACATTGTATATTCTAGCTCAATCTTCGAGAAACACTGTTCAAGATAATAGTTCAAACAAAGTAGACGCATTGTATAGTTCAGTTTTGTAGTTTTACTTCAAATGTAAGATTCCTGTCAGCAGCAGATGAGAAAAACTAAAAATAATTTTATATTAGGAAACAGCACTGTATTTTCTGATAAAATCTGGAGTTGATCTTTCTGTTGTTGAGGCTTTGTCGTAGTTTGGTGTCGATTAAGTCCAGAGTTTAAAGATTTAAATCAACGGACATTTATTTCAATTATTCATTTAAATAAAAAAATCAGCTTGTTTAACTGTAAAACTTTTCCTATAAAGCTATATAAAATTATTCCTATAACAAATATACTCTATATCTATTCATCAAACAAAAAGTTGCTGTTGTAAAGCTTCATTCAGAACCTCGCAATTACTGGAATAAATTAGTGGTTTCAAGTTGCGTAGAAGTTTGTTCCTTTAATTTCAATGTAAGCAGTCAGAACGTCAAAATTAGAGGTAGACATTTTCAATTAGTAGAAAAAGTTATCAAACTTTTAACTTTTCCACTATTTATACTTCAAAATTTGCGATAAATGTCATTTTGGCCTTTGATTATCTTCCTCCAAGAGAAATTGTGGTTAGAAATGAAAATTTAAAGAAGGCGACCATTCTTCTCAAAGAGACCTGGTATAAATTAAAAAGAAGTATAAAAAGACTCAAAATCTCGGTCTCAAAGTATACAGGGTGGGCCAATGGAAACTTCCCACCCCAAAGAACAGACTCTATAACTTATATTTTTATTCCCGAGAATAAAACACAGCATACTTTTTGACAATGATTATAGTCAACGTATAATTTGTAATAATTTTTTTGTTTGAGACATTCTTGATCAATTTCAAATTACCAATATCTCTAAAATGACCTTAATGAAAATACGTTTGGTAACGTAATGTTTGTCGGCTCTGTCATATCTTAATAATTGAGTCATTTGATCTTTGAACTTGTTCCGATTTATTCGTTTCTGTCTTACTAGCTAATATAGATCAAACAATAGTTTCTTCAAATAATACTTATATTGACTCTGAAATTATTATTTATCTAATTATTTAAAAGAAAATTCTTAAACAATTATTTACAAAATGTAGACATGCAGTTCTTGGCACTTTGAAATATATTGTTAATCGTTTTTATTTTGTCATAATTGATTACATTTCATATTTTCATGCTTCTGTTTTAAATAAAAAATCACGAATTTTATATTTATTATATACAGGTAATTACCATATTGTTCTTTTACACAAACAAATAAAGAATGCATCTTAAGAGTATTTTTTAACTCTGATATCATCCAAAGATGCAACAATTCTATTTTCATTAATTTGTGGAATGAATTCGAAGAACAAACGTCTTAGTCATCGTTAATTTAAACTAAGATGCTTCTCTATTACCATAGATTTACGTAATACATTGTGGCAACATACGGCATGTAGGCAATGCTTACTAATTTGTCGTAGGCCACAGAATATTCAGAAATAAATAATAGTAACAGTAATTAGCAATTAAAAAACATAACAATTATCTGAGTTTACCATAAATTAATGGAGACCATCATTAAGATATACCTAGAATAAAAGTTATTTAAGTTTTTCAAACAATAAATTAAATCTAAAACTAATAGTTATTTTTTATACAAGACGATAAAATGTACCTATTTTATCGTCGACCAAAAGATTAATTCACGAGCGATGAAATCGCGAGTGAATTAATTTCGGGAGACGGTAATGCAATTTTATCGTCGTGTATAAAACAATATTTTTTCCATACCGAGTTAGGTTTTAAAAAATATTCAGAAATTATTATTTCAAGGAATTTATTACGAGTAGAAAAAATATTGTGCTGGGTTGGCATTGGTTTCTATGTAATTTGACAAATAAATAAAGCTGTCTCTTTAGTTGTCAGCTTTGAGTCAATATTTTTTAATTATCTTTCGTGTCGATTGCTGATTGAATTGGAGCCAGAAAGGGCTCAAAACGAAATAAGTAAATTACTAACAGATATTCAGGCTGAGGCGACAAACGCCATATCCAAACTACTTCCATTTAAATCCCGAATAACTTATGAAAAGGAATACAAAAATTTTCAAAAATGGAAGCAATTAAAAAATGTGCGAGAAGAAATAAAGTTTCTAACCTATCCTCGCTGTTGTGTGAGGTTCAAGTTAACGTCTCCTTTCTGCTGCAATGGCTAAACTGGACGGGACCTACTTTGTTTACGCGGAATCCGAACCGCGGTCCTCGGCCATATCATGGTCAATGGCCTACCGACTTAGGAAGTGTCTAAATTAACTCTTACTCACGAGATATCCGATCTCATCCGGCGTGAATGAGCAGTGTGTATCAATAGATTTTACACTTTTCCCTTGGACAACAGCACGATGCAAAGTTTCGAACCGGTCACCCGTCCATCCACTAGCATCGCCTTCCGTCGCTTAACTTTGGTGTTCTAATGGGAACCGGTGTTTCGACGTAGCTGGGCAGTTGCCCATCCTCGCTGTTAAAGTATCATTTAATCTACCCTTGCGGTTAAAGTACTATTTTATCTACTATTTTTGATGCAGGTAATTTTAACAGTTGCTATGGAAAAAAATGTCTTTATTTTATTTAGTGTTTTTATGATCTTAAACAGCCAACTAGGAAGAAAGTCATATAATAAAAAAAACTCTTTTAATATATGTATGTATATTTTGATTCATTTTCTAAAATAATATACAGGGTGTCCCAGAAATAAGTGCAAATATTTTAACTGGTAGTATAGTTCAACCCCAGAAACACGCCTATGAGGTTTTTTTCACGAAAAAAAAAAAATTGAAAATTCGAAATTTTTTGAAAAATTTTTTGGAATTTTTTTTAGTTTTTAGTTAAAAAACATAATTTCTTGATAATATGGCAACATAGGTATTAGATTAAATTTACAAGAAAGAAAATCCAGAAAAGATCTATTGGTTCTCAAAATTTTAGCAAAAAATCATTTTTTTTTTAAATTTTCAAAGAAAAATAACTCCGTTATTTTGGACTTATTTGAAAAACGATAAAGAGAAAATATGTTTCTTTTATCGAGATCTACCACCCCTTAAAATATTTGCACTTATTTCTGGGACACCCTGTATAATTTTTATATCGTTCAAAATTTTTTTATCATAAATAAAATAACTACCTTTTGATTTTAAATCTTTAAAGATGCGGAATAAAGCTTCATATGGAGATGATGCGGTTGATGTAACCCTTGTATATGAATTTTTAAAGTAGCTCAACCTAAGACGTTTATGGATGTAAAGCACCAGATGGCGGAGCGTATTTCTACTATACTGGTCGCACGTATCGAAGTTCTGTTTCTTCTAGTTTTAAAAAATGTTCTTACTTCTTTGTAGTTGTAGTGGTTGTAGTGTAAAATTAGATTAATTTTATTAAGTTTAATTATAATGTTTAGTTTAGAATACCAGAAATAGTTTAGTAGTGTTTTTATAGTTTATTATTTTGTAGTTAAGTAGTAGGTGAAGGGATAATTTGGTTATTTTTTCTTTTTGTTTGAATAATTAGTAAGTTTGATAATTTTTACAGTGTAGAATACAAGAAGTAGTTTGTGTAGTGTTTTTATAAGAGATTATATTCGTTTATTTTGTAGATGAGTAGTAGGTGAAGGTATTCGGGTATTTTTTCTTTTTGTTTTTCTTCTAATTGTAGTAAGTATATTAAGTATTGTAATAGATACACTATATCTTCCTTCAACTTCGTTGAAAAGTGCGTTATCATATAATTTTGGTTTTCTGGTAGTAGAATAACGAAAAAAAATCTGATCAAATTTATTTTAAATTAAATTAATCGAGTCTTATTAATCAAATTAATCTAGTCAAATAATAACAATAGTTAGTTTCTAAATACTATACAGGGTGAGTTTCCTACGATGTTCTCTATAGAGATAGATAGAGAGTCGGTTAATGGGGAAAGAATTGCAGTTTTGTGGGGTCATAAATATGCGCCTTTCAGATTTTTCGGAGAAGTTCAAGGCTTACTAGATGTTTCGAAAAAAACAAATTTTGCCTATTTTAAAACTTGTCTCTAATTCCATTATAATCTACCGTATGATCGAATAAAAACTGCGTCCACGATGGCTATGAAATGAAGATCGCTGTCATTTTATATGTAAAATTATATGGGAAATATCATCGATCGTCATTTCATAGCCATCGCTGACGCCGTTTTTATTCGATCATACGATATTTTAGACAAAAAGTTTTCAGATAAAATTTGTAGATAATCACATACCTAATGAGTTTGTGTTTTATGTTTTTTTTTCTAAAGCCTGCCATTTTGGACATATGACACAAACATTATGTTTTTTTTTAAATGGAAACCATAGTTGGCCATGACTTCATAAAAAGCGAAATTTTTTAAGCTTTTCAGCGATATAGGATAATATGTTTTTTTCAAAAAATTACAAGTTATAGCCAATTCTTTTCTTCCTTGGCTAATTTCCATACCAATAATACCATGCCAATTAGTTGGCATCAAAAATGTAAAAAGTTTTATGTTTTCAAAAAGAAAAATATCGTATAATTCATAAAGCACTCAATTTAGAATAAAATAATCTAAGAATGAAATGATGCTTTTATAAACCTGCATTAAATAATTAAAATAGGTATGTAACTTTTTATTAAATATTAATTAACAGCAATTAGCATTATCATAAATTATAAATAATATACCAACATATCGAAATAATAATTTCTTTGTTAATACGGTTTAGAATTCTTAAAATAACAGGCAAAAATAATACACAATTTACAATAAAATAAAAGTTTCGTTTGGATTTCTTAATCAGCTGATCACTATTAAAGTTCGCAGAAACCCGAGGCTATAACTGAGGAAAATAACGAAAATAATCGATATGTTTGACTCCGCCCCGAAAGGTTCACGATTTGTCCTCCAGTTGGCAGCACATTTTGTCTAGTCGGTTAAGCAACTTTAAGAATATATAAACAAGGATGTAACATTGAAAACAAAATGACGTATATGTGCAGGAGTGTGATTTTAAAAGTTGTTCGAAAAAGAGCAGATATGTTTGGGCGAAACTAGAAAATAT